GCTGTTCCAGATGAGTCAGAGCAGTGTTACAAAACTAAATTACAAAACTAAATCATGCATTTATTGGTAATTTATTAGAATATATTTAAAATTGTATATATGCCATGATGCAGAGACTTGCAGAAAAGCAACAGATGAATGAAAAGGAAAAGCAATTATTTGAAGAGATATATCCTAGAGGTTATTGGCTTTGCTTTAAAATAATTGTTTCTGTTCCTATGATTGTAAATATGTGTTGAGAGTTATTTAAAAATTTCGAAAGATGGTCAGGGTAGAAATTTGGAGTTCTGCCAAGCATTTTATTTATACAAGTGTCAGAAGCTTTCTGAATTATATTGTTAAGAAGAAAAACCAGATAATTTTGCAAAGTACATGTAAACATGCAGCATGTAAAATTCTGTTTTTTTCTGTGACAGAATATAGGTTACTTTACCATAGAATTTTGTTTTTATGTAATTGTTTGCTTGTTTGCTTATTTATCTACTTATCTGCTTATTTACTTCAGATTCCAACAGCTCTAGTTATAAATTCGCATCAAATCATCTAGAGTATTTGTCTTGGGTGAAATTATATTCTTGGATGCTCATTTATAAACTGCATGTTTTGTCATTACAGAGGCTGAATTTATGGGATTAATGAATTGATCATACTTTTATGATGTTGCATCAGTAACTACATATGAATTAATAATTGTGACAGTTATACAAGTTGAAATTTAAACCTACATGAACTTCAGATGTTCCTGATTTATCTCAGTAATCTTTATAAATTGATCACTAATCCCATTCAGCCATTTGAGCATGTCGGATCTATAAGCTATTCTGGGCCTTCCTCTTCCACTTCTTTCATAGTGTATAGACTTTCTGGACTATTGTCTGAAGACTGAGAGAAGCTGACAGTCTGTTCATACTGATATCCACAAGATTTTGCTTGTAATCATATTAGTGATGCTAATTGCAAATAAGTCATTTGGCAACATTTTCATTGGATAGTTCCACTTGCGGAATAATTATAGAAAAAAATATGCTCAGTTTCCCCCTTATTTTATATATTTTCTTCTAGATCTTCTAGAATATAGTGCCAGGAAAAGTATTTTGCAATGCACTGAATCATTGTAGTTTGATGACTGAAATTCTTACTTAACATTCCCCTGGTTTGTGGCACTTCACAGACATTATCATTATTTTAACACAGAGTTTTAGAGCTGAGAGGGAGGGAGGGGAAGGAAGGCAAGCTCAGAGTCTTAGGAAACAGCATGCTGAACTTTGTGCTTATGTAAATTACAATTCACATCATGGTGCATTACTTTTTGGATTCACTTTTAAATTACTTCAGAAATCATCTCACAGAGTTTTAGTTTGGTTTCTTTTTTCTTTAGTTTGGCAACATTCACTGATTCATGTTAACCTTTTCGAATCAAGTGGAACATATCAGAGTCAAAGAGGAACTGCAAAATCTCAAAGCAGTTGACATAAGCATTGATAGCAGTGACTTGTTAAACATATCACAATTCTGTAGATTATATAGCTTTATTTTAGTTACAGTGACTAAGACACAATTTTAAAAAGGCATCATACTTCAGTTGTAAAGGTTTTGTACTGATGTTTCAAATCAATATGCTGTTACTTGTGTTTATTATGAGTGACCAGAAAGTCGTGCTGGTAACTAGCTATGGTAAAACTTCTCTCTGAAGGGATAGTCAAAATGATCAGGCAGCTTATAACCATACCTACCTTCCTGGAAGGTGAAAGGTGGAGTTTTGAAAATAGACATAAGATTATTTGGTTTCTGTTTATTGAGGGAGCTGTTGTTTATTGGAGAAGAACAACAAACCGAGACAAGCCTATGGATGTTCCACATACTGATTGGGACTGAGACCCATAAAGGAAGTCTATGGTAATACCTGGTGATAAAGGAGCAAATGAAAAATGATAATAAGAGTGTAGTGACAGGCTTCAGAATTAGCCTAAGAGTAAGCAAGTGTCTGCCATTTTCTCTTCTTCCACATACAAACAACTAAGGAAAGTCAAATAACTGTAAGCAGACAGAAAAATGAAAAAAAAAAAAAAGGGGGGGGGG